ACCCAAGAGAAGACAACCTGGACCAGGGAAGCCCAGTGAGGTCATTTCATGTTTTGGCACTGCTGTGCTCACAAGGAATGTGAAGCCAACCCGTAGGTTCAACCACAGATCTGTGCCGTGGCTTTAGGGAAGGAGAGTGGCACAACATTGCATGTTGCCATGTTCGGGGAGTGTCACTGTCGTTCAAAAATGAAAGCAGTTTGAAACAGAAGGGAAAAATGAAGAAAACTGTTGAGTTCTTATGCTAGCTGTTCGGCTCCAGAGCCTTTTAGCTCCTTTCCTACAATCGGGGGTTTCTATTCCTGCTTTAGGTTCAAATGTATGGTCCTTTATAACTCTAGACAGAATCCAAGTTCCAGGTCACTGCCCTTTGCCAGGAAGCGGGGATTTAATTAAATATATGAACAATCTGAGCCTGGCAGTGGTGGCACACGCCTTTAATCCCAGCACTTGAGAGGCAGAGGCAGGCGGATCTCTGTAAGTTCAAGGCCAGCCTGGTCTACAAGAGCTAGTTGCAGGACAGGCTCCAAAGCTACAGAGAAACCCTGTCTCAAAAAACCAAATATAAATATATAAATATATATATATAAATATATACATATATATATATATATATATCCACTTACCTAACATGTGCAAGATTCTGGGTTCAACCCCCAGTACAGGAAGGAAGGGGGGGAAGAGGGAGGAAAAGGAACAATAAACACCCTCAATGAATATGCAAACCAGCAGCTTTTCTTGCATTATTTTGCATGACTCCCAAACACAGACCCAGTGCTTCAGCTAGGGATTCTCCTGTACCTGTGTATAAGCTGACTCCAATGTCTTTGCTTGTGTACTTTCCTCCTGGAATGTCCTTTCTCTCACTACCTAACAGGTCAAATATCCGTACTTAAGCCCAAATCACGATCACCTTCCTTCATAAAGCTTCCCTGGATCTTTCCTGTCTCCTGCAAGATCCAGTACCAAGCAATACAAAGATGTCAGCCATGAGGGATTTCTGGTTGTGCTAGTCTGAAGACCCTTCTCCTGTAGTACTTTGCCTCACTCTTTTCTCCCGATGTCAAACATCAAACTCAAGCCATTAGGGCTCCTGAAAGGTCTTGGGATCAAGGGTCTTTCACATTTATGTCTCTCAAATTCCTAGCGGGGTAACTATCATTTAAGTCACAACAGGTCAGGAGCCTGGGGGACAGGAATATATATTTCTAGCAAGATGTCAGGTGCTGAAGATGTGACCAGCCCAGATTTTGAGTAGCAAGGCTTTGCATTGATTTCCAGTGGCAACGTCTGGAAATTAGTGGTCTGGTAGTGAATTTAGTGGTTGATATAAATATTTGTTCAAGATAAATATAAAAAATATAGAAGTAAATAGAATGTAAAAGGATAATTTTTCTTGTAGTATTTCCTTTTTGGATTGCTTTATTTTGTTTGTTTGTTTGTTTGTTTGTTTTTGAGAGGGTTTCATTGTGTAGCTCTGGCTGTCCTAGAACTCACAGAGCTCCACATGGCTTGGGTGTTCTTTTAACATATATACACAGGTGTGTCTGTGTGTGTGCATGTGTATTTGTGTGTATGCGAGCATGCATTGATACATACCATGTGTTATTTCAAAAGTTTTAAAGTCTGCTCTTCAACGGACAGAGCATAAATGAGACATAAACTTGGACCAGCACATTTAAATACTAAAATCCAAAGGACAAAGTTCCTTAGTGTTTGCAGCATGCTGGAGCAGCCTCCCCAAAGGGTCTAGCCTGGAAAGGCACTGGGATGAAGGCAGGCGGGGCTGAATTGGAGGTGAGCTTTCTGGATCCAGCCTGCCTGTGTTCTCTGTGGTTGCATTTATTTCCTGCACCTCACTGAGAGGCAACTATGAAAACTATTTAGTGGGTGGGTGTTTCCTAATTTGCTACTGTAGCAGGGAAGAGATAACACCACTGTTTCCTCCAAGGTCAACTGCTAGTTTTGATAGTCTTACAAACCCAGGTCAAATATGCTGTTCAAGTCTGATCGTCTACGCTCTGTTAATGCCACGGACCTTGAGTCGCAACTGTGCTCTCATGTAGGGATAAAAGGTGACTTATACCACATTGCTCCTAAAACACAGTTACCAGTAGTAATTTCTTCACCTTGTTTCTCTACAGAAAGTAAGACCAAAAGACTTGAAGTAGGAACATAAGCCTTATTCTAAACTGCATAGCCACATACTACCAGTGGCTAAGGGAATGTCTTGCATATTAGTGGTATATAACTTAGTAAAGTTTGCGGCTTCTTTTTTTCAAAAGTTAAGGGATTGGGGAAATGTATACTAGAAGGTAACATCTCAATCCATGAAAATAAGGTTTTCTCTCTGGATATTGTGACCCTCCATATCATCATCTCGATACGTGACAACCTGAAGTTTCTGCTGGTGGGGACCATGTGGTTCCTAAGCTCGTTTGGAAAAGCATGGCCTCTTCTCCCAGCATTGCTCACTCTGTTCCCCATGTGCTTGGCTCCAAGATGGATGGATGGATGTTCTCATTAGCTCATGTCTTCTCTTAGCATTGCCCGCTCGTCACCTGGTTCCTTACTGCACTTCATTCTAAAAGTATCAGTCTTACAAAGGTGCAGGGAGAAATGACAGTGGGGAGCTTTTTTTCCCCCCAGCAGGCTGTGTGAGCTCCCTCCTGGAGCACAGTCGGGCCACCTTGTATGGGCCCCACAGCAAGACCAGACAAACATGGTGCTGCTCTGTTTGGCACATCAGAACTTAGCTTTTAGATAGAATGCAAAATGCAAAACTTCAAAGGTCCTCAGAGGAGATGAGGGCTCTGGGTGGCAAAGGAAACAAGAGCCTGTGATAAAAAGGGAAGGGTAAAGGTGATGGATGGACAGATAGAGAAGGGATACATCCGGGTGCTTTCAGCCACTTGTGTAATTCCACAATGAGAGGGTTCTGCTGAAGAAAGGGCCACTAGCAACAGCAGGGTTAGGAAACCGACGAAGTGGGAGATATAGGGAGCAACTTCCTTTCACAATCTCACGTTTACTCTTCACTGCCCAGGCTGACACTTCATGCACAGCCACATTGCAATGAATGCCTGTGATGTTAGCAAAAAGATGTTCCTTCAGATGCCTCCCTAACACCGTTTATCTCATCATGCTGGTATTATCTGAAGGACTGGCCATCTCTGCCTCACATCACCAGCGCCTTGGGACTGTAGGTCCCTGTAGTTGGCAACTACCGCCCTACCTAGCTTTCTCTTATCTGAAGTAAATGGAAGTTATACAAATTAGGATAGGGAAAGGGATGATATCACAGCAGAGGGAGAATTCGCTAGGTACAGCCTAGTGAATCTCGCCCCTTCATGACAGTGACTAACCTACTGAGTCCTGATGTATCTCACTGGTGTGAACATGAGCAGTTCTCACTGCTGGCCTGTGATATACAGCTGTTATTGATCTGACTTTGGATGTAATGGAGCCAAGGTTCAGCCTGGTGAAACAAATTGCCTAAAGTCTTGCTTTGGGAGAAAGGCGTCACCTGGATTGGGACCCAGACAGCATGGCTTCAGGGTCGCTACCCCAGTTACCACACTGCACTGCCACAATGATGTTCTTAAAGACTAAGTGGAGGACCTGTCACTAGGATAAAGGTCCAAGGTGCAGAGCCATGGCCTAGAGTGTTCTTTATCCTTGTAGAATTAGAGATCTGTGGTTGAATCCAGAATTGAATGCTAGCTGAATTTATGCATGGGCACATGAGACACAGGTCTGCGGTAAACTGTCTCCTGGAGGAAGAAACAGGGAAACTGAGGCTCAAGGATAAGATAAGGGCTTTTGTTAACTGTCTTCCTTTTACCACATATATGCATTGCCTTTTCTCAACCACAAAGATCAATTCAAAACACAGGCCCATGAAAAGATCAATTTGAATCTCCTTGGGACTTTCCCAACTCCTCAGATATTTGTCAACTTGAAACAGTCTTTGACTTGACACTATGAAACACTAGGGTTCTTTGTGCCCAGTCTCATTTTCCTCATGACCAAGGACTGTAGGGTAGTTTGGTTTCCTCCCCATAAAACTGTCCTGCGCTTGGGAAAGAGCGACAGAGGTCAGAGGAAAGAGAAACTGGTCAATGCTCTTACAACTCTTTTGTTCTTACTTCTTTTTCCTTTTCCATTGTCATGTTTATGTATATGTACACATGCTTGCATGTGTGTGGACACGTGTACGTTACAGAGGAGTGATGTGAATGTGGAGGGTTGGTTGATGTTGGGACTTCTTCCCCATAGCTCTTCCACCTTACCCACTTAGGCAACGTCTCTCAGTTAAACTCAGAGCTTGTGGGTAAGACTAGTCTTTTGAGCAAACTTGCTCTGGAGATCCCCTTTCTCTGTCTTCCCAGGGTGTAATGACAGGCACACTGGTCCATCGCCCCGGCCTCTGCTATGGCTACTTTACCTTGGGCCCTTTAAACACTATTAGTTTACTGGGCCACCTCACAAACTGGGTGGTTTGGTGAAGAATAATCCTCTTTCACACAGCTTTGAGGGCTAGAAGTTCCAAAACTGAGGCATCTCTGAGGTCAGCTCCTTCAGAAGGTTGTAAGGAAGACCCAGTTTGAGATCTCCTGCTCTCTGGCTGTCATCTTGGTCACAGAGCATTCTCCTACATGGAAATCTCTCCTCAGCTTTACAGGATTCCAACCACACTAGATTGAGCCCACCAGACTCGCCTCCTTTTCACTTCTCTCTAAATAAAGTCACATTCTTAAGGACTGGAGATTAGGACGATGTGGGAACTGTTGGACATAATCAGCCTATATCACGTGGCTATGGACCTCTTCCTTCCCTCAAACTCATCCAGGGGCTTTCTTGTCCTCGTGCTGGGGTTGAGAGGTTGGCCTCTGGCATCCTTAAGATGGAAAATATTGCTAGTTAATCTTTGAGAGAAACTCCAGAGAAGGATCACCCATGGCTCATCCCAAAGGAAAGTGCTATTCTGTTTTTTGTAGGTGGTATCATGGCAACCTCACACGCCATGCAGCTGAGGCGCTTCTCCTCTCCAATGGACGTGATGGTAGCTACCTACTAAGGGACAGCAATGAGCAGACTGGACTCTATTCTCTCTCCGTGAGGTAGGTGCTGAAGGACTTGGTAGATTTCAGTCACGTCCGTCGATTGTTCGCTTTACAGCACTCAGACTGCCAGACAGTAAACCCTCCCTGATTCCTGCTGAGTCACCAGATTAAAGGATTTCAAACTCTGAAGAGTAAGACTGTAAAGAAATCTTCTCAGGGCTGGAGAGATGGATCAATGGTTGAGAGCATTGGGTTCTTGGAAAGAACCCAAGCTCAGTCAGTTCCTAGCATCAATGCCAGGCAGTTCACAATAGCCTGTAACTCAAGCTTCAAGAAGATCTCATAGGTCAACATGGGCACTTGCACTTACAGGAACACACACACACACATACACACACACACACACACACACACACACACACACACGGGTACATACACATCTTCCTTGTTCCACTCACTAGCAGGAAAAAATGTGTCAAAACAAAAAGAGACTTTGGAAATTATTTAATCTTAACCTGTCACTGGACACATGAAGACCTGAAACCCAAAGTGGTGGGCTGTCTGGCTTGACTCAATCAACAAAGAAAACAACATTGTCATCTGAGTTCCTGGACTCAGCTCCTTTTTGCTGTCCCTTTCTTGCCTGAGAAAGCCAGAATGATTTGTAACCCTGAGTTTTCATAGTCACAGACTCCAGTAGACAATGTACAACTTTACATTTTTTCAAAGTTTCCCCACGTGGTGAGTTAATCTAGCTCCTCTGAGTTGCACCTGGCACCCTGGCTTTTAGTGGCAAGCAGTGAGTTTCCTTGGGTTCTTGTCATTTCAACTGGACATGTTAAAGCTCTACAAGTTTTCCACTAACAATGGCCATTAGTGGAATGGCAGCCCCTCCACAAATCCAGGAGCGCTTGGAGGACGTCGTACGGTCCCTTCTCAGCGCATTCCCTCAAGCCAGTATGGTCCTCCGTGGTCCTCGGCATCCCCCCGCATTCCCCCTTGCTGTGGGCCCCTGGCTTCCTTGAACTCTCTGGATGGCAGTAGCTGTACCCTGGCTGCTGTTTGCATCTCCTTTCCATCCAGTGAAGCAATTTTGGTTTATTTGGTTTGAGGTTTTTGTTTTTAATTCCCTCCTCTCTCTCTCTCTCTCTCTCTCTCTCTCTCTCTCTCTCTCTCTCTCTCTCCAGCTCCCTCTCTTTCTCCCCTCTCCCTGATTGGGAACAAACTGAAAACTGGATGAGAAAATAAGGAAGTATTTCCCAGGTTAGGGAGACAGCTTTGTTGGTAAAGTGCATTCCTTGAAAGTACAAGAAACTGAGTTTAGGTCCCAGAACTGAAAAGAAAGGAATGGAGGGAGGGAATCAGGAAGTCAGCTATGGTAGTGTATATTATCAATCCTGTTGCTGTGGAAACAGATACTGCTTACTGGATAGCCAGTCTAGTCTACTTTGTGAGTGCTGGGCCAGAGGTGACTGGTGTCTGGGACAAAAACCAAGGCTGGCCTCTGGCCTCCACATTCACATACAACAGGCATGCACATGAACTTGCACATACAAGCATGCCTGTATACAGGTGAACATTCATGCATGCACACATACAAACAAACCCCAAAATTATTTCCCTAAACAACTGTTGACAGGCTTCTATGAGCTCAACAGCAAAGAATTAACATTGCTTATCCTCTCTTTAGACTTAGAACCTTCAGTATTCATTTTTTCTATGCTACATAACAAATTACCAGAAAATGTAGCAGCTTCCAACAACACAAACTGATCATACCACTCTCTCTGCGTGTATTAAAGTCCAGGCCTAGCGTAGGTGGGTTCTCTATTTAAACTCTACCAGCCTGAAATAAGGATGCCACCTGCAGCTGGGGCTCCTCTCTGGAACTCAGCATCTCACCGTTAACTTCCTCCTTGCCTTTTACGCTTTGCTTTCATTTCCTTGCTGTGGTGTGACTAGGGCCCCTGTTCTCCTAGCTGCCTTTCAAGGACCAGCGTGGACTGACAGATGCCACTTCAGGTCACGCTATGTGGCCTGTGTGATGGACTTAGCATGGGTGTGTGCCGCCTTCCTGGCAGCCTAAGCTCATCTCTCTGATGCCCACTTCTGGGGACAGAGAGGGTTCTCTTTCACGGAGCTCGTGTGAAGAGGTCAGGCCTACACAGGGAATCTTCCTATTTTAAGATGAACCAATTTAAAGATTTAACGATCCATGAAATCTCTTCACCAAGCCATCTAGATTAGTTTTTACCTGGATAATTGGAATGGGGATATACACTCCATGGGATTAGGCTTGGGGCATCTGTGAATGCTGCCTGCCATGCCTTCCATTCCCTAGCAGTGGGTCTACATGCCTCTTTGAAGGGGAGAGGGAGAAATAGGTAGAGAGTGAGGGAGAATCCAAGCAACGAAAGGGGAGGTATATCTACTAATGTTTTGATGTTACCCTGGCAAGTTTTATTTATAAATTCTCTAAGTAACAGGACTAAGGGCTAAGGTAATAACTCATTCTGTAGTAGTAAAGTCTATGCAAGAAAAATAAGAATAACTTGAGTTTGACTCCCAGCACCCACATGAAAACTGAGCATGTTGGTACATAATCCCAGAACTAGGGAGGAGGACACAGAAGTATCTCTGGGGCTCACTGGCCATAGCCAGCCTTGCTGAATCTATGAATTCCAGGTTCAGTGAGAAACCTTGTCTCAAAAATTCTAGGTAGAAGACTCTTGAGAAATGACCCCTGAGGTTAACCCCTAGTTTCCACAAACGTGCACACATGTGCTTATGCACACGTGAGAACACATGTACATAATCACAAAGAGAAAATAAAGAATGGGGATGCAAAAACTACCAGTCCAAGATGGAATCCTGTTTTAGTGGAGGAAAGTTCTTGTTTTCTCTTATTGACAGCAAAGGTGAGCACACGACAGGGAGACTGCTTGTTGGGGTGCTGTATCGCACGGCCCTCCCAAATACCTCAAATAAACATGTAGAATTATTGGATAACAGATATAATTAATGTGTTATATGTGTGGCTCATCTGATCATAAGCTGTTTATAAACAGATTGTATGCATTTCATCTTCCTGAAAAATTAAAATATAAGCCATCGGTTTTCATTACAATACTTGGTAACACTTAGAGGTGACAGAATCCATAGGCCAGTTGTTGAAAGGTATGATTATTTTTTATTCATGTGTTTGTTCATTCCCTTGATGATAGATATTTGAAAGCATGCATTCTGTACCATCTTAATTCAGAGACATTGTTGGCAAGACACACAGCACCCACAAACCCCAAATTTCGTTATAAAAGAGAATGCAGGAATAACATCAAAGAGGGAGAGTAATTGTTTGGGTGATTGAGAAGTAAAACAGCACTCAATGTGAGCCAGAATGATCATGTGATTCTTGATGAGAAGGTGAAATTTACTGGAAAACTCAAATGGGTAGCAAGGGTTTCTACCATCAGAGACCAAGGGGAAGGTGAAAGGGGCATCGGAGGGAAGGCGCAGAGCTGGAAATAACTCCTAGAAGTGCAGCAAGTCCAGATGGACAGGGTCCTGAAGCTGACTTCCCTGACATCAGCATCCACTGACAAGCCCTTAGAACCTAAATTTGGAAGGAGGGCCTACTTTCCACCTGTTGAATCTTTGTCTGGGGGTTTGAACAAACCTTACAGTAGATTCTGATGCATTCCAAAGTTGGGATGTGGATGATACGGTGAGGGGTGGGGCTAGAAAGATAAAATGGGGACCAATAAAGTGAGGGGGAGAGAGTTTATGTAATACTTTTTATTTCAAAAATGACAGCCTTAGAAATGTGGCATTTTATTCAGTAGACAGTCTCCCAGGCAAGGGAGGAGAAGACTAGGGACGTTTAACTCACTGACAGAAGTGGACTTCTGACTGACTCCAAGACAAGGGAGTGCCAAGGACAAACACGTCATTTCTGTCACCTCTGTCTTCTGGAATTTATGCTTTATGGACATTAATGTTCAAGAACCCTTGTGGTCAGTCCACGAGAAGATGGGGGGACCATCTCTTTCCTTCTAGGGGAGTGAAAAGCTAAGAGTATTCTCTGCCAGAAGAAATGAAGGACAGCCTTAAAACTCTTAATGATTTGGATGGCTTTGTGTTCCTCATTCTCAAAGGCTGGTGGTGATGCTCATAGTTTGCCTCCAAAAAGACTCATTATTTATTAAATAACATTAAGCACTTTTGTTTTCTTTCAGAGGCAAAGACTCTGTCAAGCACTTTCACGTCGAATACACTGGGTACTCATTTAAATTTGGCTTTAATGAATATTCAACTTTAAAGGATTTTGTCAAGCATTTTGCAAACCAGCCTTTGATTGGAAGCGAGACAGGTAAGCCATCTTTGTCCGGATGTTGTTGCTATAAACAATACCTGGGATGTGCGATTTCTTAAGAAGGGCATTACAGTGCATATCTGTGTGTGAGAATTTGCTCGGAGTCCAGTGACTCCTGCTGGGGCTAAGAACATTGCACAGTGAGAGGCAGGGGCTATGAACATCAAAGACCAACCCCTCACCACAGCCCAAGGTTGCCTGGAGCTTTTGATCCTTCTGCCTCAGCCTCACAAGTGCTGGAATTATAGATGCATCCTGCCATAGCAGGCTCAAGTCAGCATCTATAACAAACCCATCCTTGGTACAGTCCGTTAGCCCATTAATTCATTAGCAATAAAATAGATTGATATTTCATGGTTGGGATTAAGCCCAAATCACCTCTTAAAGTTTGATCTGGTCCTCCTGTTTAAATATAATGAAAATTAAACCTAGCATTAGTTTTGAAGTAAACAAGTTGTATTCAAGCCATAATATAAACTGCAGACTTCACCTCTGAAGTACTGTTCCAGGAAGAAGAAGAGCAGAAGTAGACTTCAACCGATTTCACACTTGTTACTCTTGGATCGTCCGCCTGTGGTAGGAAATTGCCATGTTCAGAAACAACTTTCATGTTGTTGTGTCATGGGGAACATTAAAAAAAATATGTATATGAAGGGGGCTAGAGGGATGGCTCAGCAGTTAAGAGCACTCGCTGTTCTTGTGGAGGACCTGGGTTCATTTCAGGAACGCACACCAGACAGCTCACTACTGTCGGTAGCTTCAGTTCCAGGGGTCCCAGCGTCTTCCAGCCTTGTGGACATGCGTGTGCATGGGGTCCTTATACAGGCAAACAAGTGCACACATATATACATAAAGAAAAATAAGTATCATTTTTAAATGTAAATATTAGGATTTCAGCACCCTCTTCAGGTGCAAACAAGGTACATTCTCCAAAAGTATACATCTTCTCAAAATGCATTAATAGATTGTTCGTGGGATATTAAAAGCTCACACAGGCAGGAATCCTCGTGAGTTTGAGGTCAGTTGGTTCACATAGTTAGTTTCAGGCCAGTTAGGGCCATATAGTGAGACTTCATCTAGGCATAATTTCCTTAGCATGTTCTATTTTATAATACATAGAGTAAAGAAAGCGCAAGCCAAGAAGGATTTTTCTTCTTATCAATTTCGGCATGGAGGCTGATGGGAAACTTGGTCTGTGACATGAAGCTGATATGTAGAGAAACATTGTTTTGGATGTGGGTGAGACCCAGAGAGCTTAATCTGGAACCCTTTCAAAGATAAAAGTCACATGCAATGCCCACAGCGATCGAATGCTCAATACTGAAAACATTGATTAGAAAACATTTCTTATGAGAAATAAAGGCCTATATCTGCTACCTTGGCTCCTTACAAAGTTTTAGGACTGGACTTTCCTATGACTTGGAAGGATTCGAAATTTCCCATTTCAGTATTTAGACAAACTGGAAAATTAATGGAATATATATATATATGTATTTATATATATAAACTATTTTGTCAGCCAGCATTCCATTGATGTAACAATATTAATCCCTGAGCTAAATGGGCATGCAAGTAGGAAAGGTTTATTTTGTCCGATGGCTTCGGAGGTTTAGTATATGATGCCTTACCCCATTACCATCACGATGGGCACACACAGAAGTGAGAGCCACTCGGCTCATGACCAGAAAGCAAGTGACTGAGTCCCATCTTCATATCCCCTTCAAAGGCACACCACCAATGAACTAACTTTTTCACGCTGGTTCCACCTTCTCAGAAGGCCAAGCAGGGGGCCACGCCTTTAGCACACAGGCCTTTGAAAAACATGCGGGCCTTTGAAGAACATTCTCTATCCACACTCAAGCACATATTATGTTGGTGCTTGAATTATGTAACGTATTTATCTATAAAGAAAGTAAGTAAAAGGTCACCTCTGAATTTATGGTTTAGAATTCCAGCTTTATTTACTCTAAATGATGAAAAAAATGTCAGTTTATCAACAGTGAGAAACCTGCAAGAGACTGTATCCTGAAACACAAATTTGTGCATATCAGTTTTCTCAGAAAACTCCCGAGTGGTCTTTCTGCTCATCAGTGTGGAGGAAAGAGCTGCCGTCATAGGTTTCTGCTTTTGCCATGTATGTCGCTGTGACAGACCCCAGTATGAATCAGTGTCTAGCACAGATGAAAGACACAGAAAAGAAACCACAAAACAGTCTCTTCTCTTTATACTGAAAATACCAGGTTTACGGGAGAACATCCTGAACTTGAACCTTCAGCTGTAAATCTGTCTTTTTCCTGGTGGAAATCCTCTGAGCCCGCCCTGACTTTTCCCCCCAGCATTACCCAGTGATGCTCTCCTAAACAAACACACTTGGAATGGGTACTCCTTTCCACTGCTACCTTGGCCCGAGCAAGCATTTCAGTTTCCCTGACCCCTGCCCTGCAGCTTTAATACTTGAGTATGTTGAACCGACTGGATTTTATTCAATTCTTGGTTTCTAGCCATGGAGTAGGGTGACTTCATTCCGCCTAGCTCTCCCTTTGTCCCTCCTATCTTTGCCATCAGTGCAGCTGTACGAGTAAATGAATACATCAAGTATTGGGTGTTTATGAGGACTACTGTAGCCACCAAACTATTCTCGCTATCTGTCCACCTCCTCTTCTCCCCAAGCAGAGTCAGTTTTGCTGTTTAAACTTCTCTCCCAGACACTATTTAAATCTCTTTTATGGTTCTCTGTGCTCATTATTGGACTTTCTCAAGATTAGAGAAAGGTGCGTATCCTGCCTCCAGGCAGATTTCAAAGGCAGACTGAGACTGAAGTGCATGTAGGGTCACCTTCACCCTGCATTTGGAGCAATAGACATCCTCCCTGTAAATACATTATCCTGACTAAAGAAGTGCCATGGCCAAGTGTAGTGGTACCTGCAATTCTAGCACTCGAGAGGCGAAGGCAAGAGGATCACAGGTTCAAGGTGAGCCTGGGCTACACAACCAGGCGGAGGGTAGCCTGGACTTCATAACAAGACCCTGGCTTTAAAGGGGACTGGAGTGGGGCTGGTGATTAGCATGAAGGGTTTAGAATTAGAGTTTAGGGAAGTGGTTTCTCCAAAGTTAAATTTTCGGTGCGTTATAACTATGGCTCCCATTTTCCTTATCCTGTCCCCTGGCTGTCCTCTCTCCGCTCCGTTATCTGATAAACAATTTGCTCCTTGGAGCTTGATTCAGCTGATGGATGTTAGCACCGAGTTAGAATACATTCACTCTTCTTGCTTATCTGTTCCCACCAGATGAAGGCAAAGCCGCCAAGGCTTGTCCAAGGGATAAAACCCATGACACTTGAGCGTTCTAATCTGCCCTCTGTGGGAGTAACAGGCTTCCGGAGAACAAGATAGTGTGTTGGCGTCATGATGATTGTTAAGCCTAGGAGGACTCCAGAAGTCACGGAGTCACCACTGTGGCCATGAGAGATGATGCCTGGCAAACAGGACGCCACCTTCTAAAAATAGCCACTTTCTTCTGGTTCGCTTACATATTGGCCTCTGGCGGTGCACACCTGTAATCCCAAATTCAAAATCCATCTGAGCTGCGTGGCAAGGCCCACTCTCAAAAAAATAAAACAAAAGAACTTCTGATGTTAGCTCTCAGTGATCAGGAGACTCCAGGCTAAATTTCTCATGGTTTGAAGATGAGCACAGAAAAACTCCTTTTTACACATTGAACAAAGTTCTTCCAGAATGTTTTTCTCTCAGTCTTCCAAAATCAGATCTAAAATTCACTATTTTAGGTCACTCCTGTTAGTTAGTCCAAGGCCCAGCTTTGCCCTGCAGTGAATTTATAGAGAGACTTTTGACCTGACTTGGTGGAGCAGGACTGTAATTTTACCTAATCAGGAGACTGAGGCTGGAACAGCATAAGTTCAAGGCCAGACTGGGAAACTTAGCAAGATACTATCTCAAATTTAAAGACTAATACTAAAGGGAAAAAAAAAAAAAAGATGGGAGTCGGGGGTGGGGCTGGGTCTATGCTTCAGAGGTCCAGTGCTTGCCTGACATGCACAAGGGGGACATTGCCCTAGGGGGAAGTGACGCTGGTGGGAATTGCTACTGCCTCTGAGGGCAGCAGGAGATACGAATAGAATAGCCCAGACCTCATATTTGTGCCCCACAGTGGTAGGTGACAGCTTCAGGAGCCTAACACCAGAATATGTTTGCAAGTCACAAGCAAACCTTTGTCTTAAAGACGGGTGAAGATGTTGATCCAAACAGACACACGTTTAGTGCCTATTTGCTCCTTTATCCCTAGTTTCTGTTCCTTAAACACTCAGAATGTGTGCTTTTTAATCTGATGAACTCAGGCTCCCCAAATTACACCTAACCTCCTGCCAACCATGTGGGTTCTAGAATCCCCTCTTCCTGTGATCTCCATTAGAGTTTGTATTCATTCAAAGTTCTCTGCGTTAACATCCAGGAAAACTCTAAGGATGTGTCTAATCCCCAAAACCTTAGCATTTCCTATGTCCACAATAGCACTATGCAATGGACTCACTTGCTTTTCCTCCGACATATTTGACAGTTGTACAGTTTTTATCATTCACTTGTTCAAACTCTCTTATTCTACATATTAGCATAAACGCGTGAAAGAGGGGCTTGTTGTAAGTGTTGCTTCCTAATATATCCCAGAAAGAACAATGCTAATCATTTTCTTAGCATGCCATAGGTGTAGGGGTGGGGGGTGAGGTGGGGTTAGGGAACGAGGGATTTCTCACAGCTCTCAAACACTTCTGACAATTTTAGCCAGCAAAATTGACACAAAGCACAATACAGGCCTATGCTTCTGTGTTCCGTGTCTACCCAGTGGTGACTAAATTCAGGATCTGCCTTTCGCTTGTCAGGGATGATATCTAAAAAGTATATTCCCTCTAAACAGCACTACGTAAACTTGGGTATTTGAGAAACAGTTTTAGTATAGTTAATTTTCACCGAGTCTAATTAGCTAAG